TTGTGGGACACTCTTGTGAGACACTCTTATAGGACACTCTTGTAGGAAACCCTTGTGGGATACTCTTGTAGGACACTCTTGTCGGACACTCTTGTAGGACACTCTTGTGGGACACTCTTGTAGGGCACTCTTGTGGGACACTCTTGTGGGACACTCTTATAGGGCACTCTTGTGGGACACTCTTAACTCTTGTGAGACACTCTTGTGGGACATGGTTGCGGGACACTCTTGTGGGACACTCTTGTGAGACACTCTTACGGGACACTCTTGTAGGACACTCTTGTGGGACACTCTTGTAGGAGACTCTTGTGGGACACTCTTACGGGACACTCTTGTTGCACACTCTTGTAGGACACTCTTGTGGGTCACTCTTATGGGACACTCTTGTCGGACACTCTTGTAGGACACACTTGTGGGACACTCTTGTGGGACACTCTTGTGGGACACTCCTGTGGGACACTCATTTGGGACACTCTTGCGGGACACTCTTGTGGGACACTCTTGTGGGACACTCTTGTGGGACACTCTTGTGGGACACTCTTGTAGGAGACTCTTGTGGGACACTCTTGTGGGACACTCTTGTGGGACACTCTTGTAGGAAACTCTTGTGGGATACTCTTGTAGGACACTCTTGTGGGACACTCCTGTAGGGCACACTCTTCGTACGAGACTTCCTCCAAAAGTCACGCTGCGAGACTGCAAGACGAGCGTTTCGTACGAGACTTCCTCCAAAAGTCACGCGTCAAGTCTCAAAAACGAGCGTTTCGTACGAGACTTCCTCCAAAAGTCACACGTCAAGTCTCCAAAACAAGCGTTTCGTACGAGACTTCCTCCAAAAGTCACATGAATAGTCCCCAAAACGAGCGTTTCGTACGAGACTTCCTCAAAAACTCACTTATCAAAGTCTGCAAAACGAACGTTTCGCACGAGACTTCCTCCAAAAGTCCAGCGGAAACACCCATCGGAGCACACACATCACGCAGCCCTGCCAAGCAGTTTCGCGATTCCAGCCCCTCCAAACGACACCCGCTCAAACGCCAATCCCAATGTGACAGCGACATTCACCTCTACCACAACTCACAACCTCCCGATTCCCTGCGCCTGCCACGAATCTTTCCGCGTCCACACGTCTAACGCGCACAAAGTGCTGCGCCTGCCACGAAATGTCACCTCCGTCACACATCGCAACCTCACGATTCCCTGCGCCTGCCACGAAAATCCCACTTCCACACCTCAAAACCCGCACAAAGTCCTGCGCCTGCCACGAAAAGTAACAATGTCATCTCATGTGAGCTTCAACAAAATTTGCACCACACCACACGTTTGGAGTGACTTCGACCCGTTCTGAGCACACTCCCATCCACCAAAATCGGCATTTCAGCTGAGACTTGTCACGAAAACAGAGCTTCGATGCCACACCCTGAAACGCAAATCCCAATGGCACGGCCACATCCAACACCCCAAAAACACGACTCTCCAAACGCTAATCCCAATGGAACTGCGTAGCAAACTGCGGATCTCACAAAACGCTGCGCCTGTGCAGCGAAACGCATCACGTTGCTTGCGCGACATGTCCTTTTCATGCAAATCACAATGGAATAGCGGCGCAAACTGACACGTGACACATCCATGAATAGTCACTTGCAAAAGCTTCCCCCAATGGCAGCGCCTTAGCGCTCTACCGCGAACGGTTGCGAACGGTTGCGGACGGTTGCAAACGGTTGCGGACGGTTGCGGACGGTTGCGGACGGTTGCGAACATAGAAACAACGGGTCGCGAACAAGGCTCCACCCCCAGACCCCCAAGAGTTAAACGAGAACCCTTCGCTACGCATTCGGGAAAAAAGAAGTTGCGGCAAGAAACCTCGAAAGCAAAATCCAAAGCTGTCCAGCTTTGTTTAGGACTCAATCCTGTCCTGCCCTCGCCAACCCCCCTTAAAGAAAACATATAAACGACGCGCTCTCCGACAAAGAAACCAGAATTCACGACGGCCTTCTGGGCCCCCCTGCGCTCTCCGAAGCATTCCATCATCATGCCTCAAGGATTCTAAGACTGGGACCCAGAGGATCCCCCCAAAGGAGTGGTTCATGGGGCCCGCTAGCAGCCCCCGCTCGCAGACCCAAACGGGAGACCGGGGAGACCGATTCCGACGTGTCCGACGTTCAGATGATGAAACGGTCTGGGCTTGAGTTCTGTGGTGAAACTTGCCGGAGGCGGACCTCTCCCATCCCGATGAGGTCCCACTCACATGGTCCTTTTTCCTTTAGGTTTCCCTATTTGAGAGGCATACCTTTGTGGCTGCTGGCTTTTGCCAGGGGTTCTGGATGTTGTGGCACGTTGTCTTGTTACATGCTTGAAAGCCACTCAGCTAATCAAAACAATGTTCTCTCCTTCAGAAAAACTAAAGAGACTGAAATCTTCCAGGTTGGCCCTGTAACAAACTAATATTCTCCTCCATCATTTATCAATCAACATATTATAGCCTCTCCAGCCCCACCGGTCCACCCAGCTCTGCGCTCTCCACCCTCGGCACCCGAACAGCTGTGCCCCGGCGAGGCAAAGCGCCTCTTCGGATGGAAGGCCGCCTTGGTGGGGCTCCCGGAAATGGCTTTATAGATAGAGTGCGTCAGTGCGTCGGTGTGTCAAATAGCAAAGGCACAAGGTTGTGGTTGTGGTTGTTGTGGTTGTTGTGGTTGTTGTGGTTGTTGTGGTTGTTGTGGTTGTTGTGGTTGTGGTGGTTGTGGTGGTTGTGGTGGTTGTGGTGGTTGTGGT